TAACTGTTAATGCAACGACATTGGGAACTGTGGTCTCCACTCCAGAGAGCAGCACACAGATCGTGAGAAATGCTGCGGAGCGGCTGGAAAACACGGAGCGGATCTTTAGCGGAATCGGCGGGTCTTTAGCGGAGCGGTAACAGACCGCTTGAGCTGGGGTGATGGGTGGGATTGGTGAGAGGGGCAACTCAGCCGATGAGGGCAAAGGGGCAGTGGCTCTAGCCACCGGGCCACCCCCCTGTGCACGACCCTGCACCGGGGCATCCTTGCAGCGACGCCATAACTCCTCTTTGACAAGTCTCCAGACAAATAAAACAACTGCATGTCTATTCCTGTTGTCTTCCTTTCGTCCGACTCTGTGCACAATGTCGATTGCTTCTTCGAGCTGTCGCTGTTCCATGTCAGGGGCGATCTCATTGAACAGTTGTATGACGTCGGCTCTAACGTTCTCGTCCTTTCTTTCCGACAAACCTTTCAGTTTCAGACACCATCGCATCTTGTATCTCTCCTGGTCCCTGATTCTCTCCTTAAGCTCTTGATTTTCTTTGCACAAACGTTCGTTACACTTTTCCAGCTCGATAACTTTCCCCTTGCATTCCTTAACTTCTTCGGCATTGAACTGCACGGATTTCATTAGGCTAGCAATCATGCTGCTACTCTGTTTAGCTTGCTCTCGAAGTTGCGTCAGTTGCTCATTGAAGTTCTTTTCCAAACTCTGAATGGCTTCCAGTATGGTCAGGTTAGAGACCTCATTTTCCTTTAATGTAGTTTTGCTCTTTTTCCCAGCTGGAATCTTACTCGGAGTTGTCGGCGTGGGGTCTTTTCTTTTAGTGATTGTGCTAACCTCCATATCGTAGTCATGGTCGGCAGATTGTTCGAAAATCTTAGTGCTCATTGCAGCTTGCTTCTTTTCACTGTCCCCCTCTTTAATTGTCAGTCTGGCCAGTTTGATCATACTTTTTTAATTGTTTGGAGCATCTTTATAAGCAGAAAATCAAGATTTGGGACAATTTTGCTTCCGTCTCTGACGCGAGCGACTGTTCAGCACGCCATCTTGCCCGGAATTCCACAAATCATATAAGTGGTCAAGTGCAAAGAACGCAAGTGTGGGTATTTGGACAGGGCATGTGTATATTCTATTTTTGCAAATGTCCCTTTAGGGGCTCCGTAGCTAGCAGACGGTCAGTTTAGCCAATCTGTCTGCTTCCTGACTTGGGCCCCAGTTAGTCAAATACCAACTCTAAGACGATGTGCCATAATTCTTGAGAGAAGAGCTGCAGGAAAGATAAAGAAGTCTGCCCCAAACATTCGTCCAATTGTCTATGAAACCTATGTTATTCTGCGGGCACCACTTAGACATCCAGCCATTGAGTGATGACAGTCTGCTATGTATCTCTTCACTAGAGCATGACACAACAGTGTCTGACATCGTACTTGCAAGTTCACACAACTGTTATTTTTAGGTAAATTCTGACATCGTAAGCACCAATGTTAATAACAATCGTAAAGTATTTATGTTTAGCATTAGCCAGCACTTTTAAATCTGCTTTGTTGTCTCTATTTTCACATTCCGTACAATAGAATCTACCAATAACTAGGGCACTTGCAATAATAATAATTATTATTATTATTTACATGTAAGTTAGTTCTTATGTACTAAGTCCTATTTAGTCTAATGAACTAGGTGTTGTTGGTTGACATTTCATTAACCACTAGTCTGCAACCACTAAAAAACTCCAAAGAGTTAAAAATGTGTCAGTGTGCTGACATAATGAAAAAAAAGACAGATGCAAAAATGTTGCAAAGAACAACAGCACACTGCAAACTAATGGGTTTTCATACATCAACCTTTTAAATGTGTAACTATTCTTGACATCACTTCTGTGCTGTTTTTTGAGAAAATGGTTTGCATTTGTTGCATCCCACCTTTAGCATGATTGTTAAAGCCTCTGCTCACAGGATGTTGGTTCACCACACGTCAGATCGGGAGGCTGGTCCCAATGAGGCTTAAAAAGAAAAAATGACTTCCCACCTTTAACTTTTGAAAACTGTGAGATATAACAACTTCTGTCCGATTTATTTTTGGTTTCAAACTGAAGGCTTTTTTTTAATTTGTGCAAATGTGATTAAAATGCACTGTAGAGAGAGAGGCAAAAGCCTTCTTCAGCTGCAGTACACTTCAGTCCATCATTGATATTTTAAAAATATGTGAAAAATATATATCTCTGTGAGTATCATATTTAATAATCTTTCCTCAAGACATTTCCTTCTATCTATTGTTGATCTGCACACATTTTAGGTTCCTCTGGTTCAAACTGAAAGTTTCATAATTTCACATAATTTATTGTGTTTTTTTTGCTGCAGTTTCGAATGCCTGTCATAATCCAACAGGGCTTCTGACTCAACAAGATTGGAGGAACAAAGAAGTTCACATAAAACTCTGCATTCATCAACATTTTCTGAAACAAAGATGCATTGAATCACACCCACAACCCGTCAAACAGAAACTAGAACAATAACTAAATTTGGCAAGTATGCATGCATGCCGATAAAAATAAAACTTGTTTTTAAACACACTCATTTATCTACAACACATTGTTACATAATAATTCTTAACTTCTCACACACACAGACACAGCGCTGTATATTTATTCAGTTTTGTAAGTTAAATTGAAATAGACACGAGATCATAATTTCCTGTCAGGTTTTCATTATAGGTGGTTATAACAGGAAGTTTTCTAACTCATGCAAGGTCTTTCTTCGCTGCCGGCTCTGCTTTGACTGCAACTGCAAATGGAAAGGTTTAAAATCTTCCTTTTGATAGGTAGGATGTCGTATTTGGTATTTTAATTATTAATACAATGGAAACCAGAAAACCTAAAACTATACTATCACTATAATGCCTTTTCACAATGAGATCTCTGAACCTTTGTGTTAATTTATAGTGGCAGTGAGTGTGCAATTAACATCTCAAGACAGCACTACTGGTGAGAATCATATTTTTATACTGGCTTTTGGTCTGTATGTTAACTCTTAATGACTATTTTAACTGTTTCATTTTCAAAAAACAGAAGAAGAATTGTCTATTTAGCCTCTCTAACCTACGGATTATTCATCCTCTAGAACCTCCAGTTCAGATTTCCAAGCCCAAGATAACTCTGAATCTAGCTCATAAGGTGCTGTACAATACAGAGACAGTCTCTCTGCGCTGTGAGGTCCCTGGAGAACCACCAGGGTTACAGTATGACTGGTACAAGAACTCAAAAGATCTCGGTGAACATCAGCCCAGCATCACTGCGAGTGGCAGTGGAACATATGAATGCAAAGCAAAAAAAGGAGCAAAGTCAGAAAAAAGTGATAGTTACACTTTAACTCTAGAAGGTAAATGAATATCACCAATGTTTATTTAGATATATAAATTTGTATCTTTAAATTTCTCCGTAGTCCCAGCACCAATGCTGATTCTGGTATGTAAGTGGGCTGAAAGGTCAGTGTGTAATTATAGCGTAAATAATATTGGCCTGACTTTTGTGTTATCTTTTTCTGTACAGATCCTCCTAAAGCAAAGCTGACTGTGAATCCTGACTGGACAGAGTTTTTCCCTAATGAAAAAGTCAATCTGCAGTGTGAAATTGAAGGTGGTTCTTCAGGCTGGACCTTCCAGTGGATGAGAGACAGCTGGACTTCAGAAGACAGCAGTGTCTTAGCGATCACTGTAAAACACTCTGACTCTGCAGAATATTCTTGTAAAGGAAAACACAGTAACAGAGAAGTAACTACTCAACAAAGTAATACATTCCAACTGAACGTCAGAGGTAATTTCAATCATTAAAATTAGTCTAATGAAGTTGTTGGAGCAGAACCAAAGATCAGCTTTTGTTGTTGAGAAACACATTAAACTATATTTAACAAAAAAAAAAAAAAGTTTGGACGTACACTACAAGATTCAAAAGTTTGGGGTCAGTAAGATTTTTTTTTAATGTTTTTTTAAAAGAAGTCTCTAATGTTCACAGAGGCAACATTTATTTTTCTATTTGAATATATTTTAGAATGTAATTTATATTTGTAATGGCAAAGCTGAATTTTCAGCATCATTACTCCAGTCTTCAGTGTCACATGATCCTTCAGAAATCAGTATAATATGCTAATTTGGTGCTCAATAATAATTAATTATCATCAATGTAGAGTCATTTTTGTTCAACTGAATGCATCCTTCAAGTACTAAATAAAATAATATTTACTGACCCCAAACTTTTGAACAGTAGTGTACATATAGGCTTAGTGTTAGTATAAGGATATGTATTATCTGTTTGAACACATTTACCTTACAGTTTGGTTCATTTTCTCTCTTCCTTCAGATCCGCCTCAACCACAAGTCCAGTCTGATTGGACAGAAGCGTTTTATGGTGAAAAAGTCTCTTTGCAGTGTGACATTCAAGATTCAAAAACCTGGAATTATATGTGGTTCAAGGGCCAGAACAAGATTTTCTCCAGTGGTGAAGCAAACATAAAAGGAAACACTCTCACACTCTCAGTTCATTCCAGTCATGACGGGGCGTATGTGTGTCAAGCTGAGCTGCAGGACAGAAAGGTGACGACCGCAAAAAGTACATCGCATTCGATAACAGTCCATGGTAAGAGTCTGTTATCACTGTAGCTGAAAGCAGCATGTCATGGTTAAATCATAATGTGTTATATTGTGAAATACAGACATAAAAAAAAAAAACACACATCTAATTTCAGAAAACAGTTAATTGAATTTTGCATGTTAACTTCCAGTGTGCCGCCCGCGGTACACTGCATGCTTTGAGAATTAACTTAAATGATTTTAGCAAATGGCTGCAATATAACAAAGAGTGAAAAATTTAAGGGGGTCTGCATACTTTCCGTACCCACTGTATCTTTGGAAAGCTTTGTGATTCGAATGACGCAAAACATTTTAAGATACAATCAACACAGCAGGTACAATCAGTGTCTTTGTCAGACCAACAACAATCAACTAAACAATAACAAAACTGAAGGAACTCACCTATGAAGCCTCTTGTTAGTCCACTAGTTCATTACATTCCAACAAAAATGGTGTAGCTACACTGTAAATGGTCCAGACTATCCAATTCAGTGAAATATTTAGTCCATAACACATTTATATGTTGATAAACATCCACGGAGTGTAGGAGTATCATTTCAGATCAGCCGACGGAGCGCTCACAGCTTCGGCGCATTATGAAGTATAGCTTGTTTTTGCATAAACAAAACCGAACCATTGAAGTCAAAATGGCCGCTGAACTCTGCCCTTTTGATTGGCACCTTATTTGAACCAATAGCTGAATCTATGAGGTGACAACAAGCAGCGATAGCCAACTAGCATCCAGGATGAAGGATGAGGCAGTCTCTCTTTGATGGACAGTAGACTGATCCAATTGCATCAGAGTTTGCAAATGACTGTCGTTTCTGATAGCCAATGAACTTCTGAACAGAATAATATGCGATTTTAGTGGGTGAGTTTAACATATCGTGCACAGAAGTCCGTGTGCAAAGGATTATAGTGACTGGTGCGTCTGTGCGTAACGAGCGCTCTATGAGAGATAACGGGGAAAATGTGGTTATAGGTAAAAAACTATCAAAGAGAACGCGAAAAACAAACATTTTGTTCTAAGAAGTTGTTAAACAATGTATAACAATAAAATTGGCCAGACAATAAAAGTGTTTTTTGACGGAGAGAGCGATAATTCATCCATTGAAGCAGATGAGAGGATATGGTTTTGGATGGAGGACAGGTCACACTCAACAAGTAAGTGTTTTATTATATTATATAATTATAGTTATATATATATTTTACATATAATTATGTATATTATACAAAGCACGACATAATGTGTTTATGCTTCAGTTACTATGTGTCAGCAATTATTGACAGTGAATCTGGATAAGAAATTGAATAGGTCTAAGTGTAAGCTTTCATTAGAGCCCAAAATTATGACTGTACATTAAAGCATTCAAGAATTGCAGCATTTTATGTGTCGTTGGTTACAAAGGGTCATTTGGAGTCTCCAAGTGGCTTTTTTTGGGAAGCGCCTAGACATACATTTAGATAAATATGTGTAAAACACTCATTTTCTAAGGTATTGTTATCAAATTTGAAAAATTTTGCTTGGTAAGACTTTATTCTGTGATCCAAATGTATTTTCCAGCGAATACCTCCCAGCTATAGTCATCTGCAGGCATCTGTTTACAAAGAAAATGTAGGCGGATTTTTAATTTTATTTTTCAGTGTGTTTAAAGTTCTATTACTCAATACCAATAAGACTTACAGTGATTCTGAAACACACCTCAGAGTGTCACCTTTCAAAAGAGACCAAACCCATGTATGTACTCCAAAAGGTTCAAGAACAGCATGCAATTTACTTTGGGTATGGCTTTTTTAGGCATTTTAGGCAAATTTTACAGGAACGCAAGCTCAATGCTAATTCAAGAATTTCAACATTGCATATATTTTTTTAATTATTTAAGATTGAGTTTTAGTGCTGTTTATTTCCTGTGTATAAATGTCTCTTGGTGTTTCCATTGAAATCATAAATAAAACTTGCATAAATATAATTGTGTAAGTATTTTAATTACTTTTATAAAGGTATTTTTTTGTACAATTATAAAGGCATAATACAGTCAAAAATGTCTAGTTATGTTAAATTGTTCTTTATCTTTGCAGAACTGCCTCAGCCAAAATTGTCAGTAGAGTCTCAATGGAATATATTTTACCCAACTGAGAAAGTGACTCTGAAGTGTTCAGTCGATGAAGATTCAAATAAATGGGGCTATGAATGGTTTAGAAACGGAGCTCGGCTTCTCAAGGATAAGGACATTTCCTTTCCTGGAAACACTCTCTCCATCAGCTCAGCTAAAACGGGTCATTCAGGACAGTTCACCTGCAGAGGAAGACATCTGACGAGAACATCAGTGACTACTAGACAAACTGAAGCTGTTCAACTTCATATTCATGGTAAAACTACTTATGATATTCTATGATTAATAAATATCAACGAAAGTGACATGCACCCAAAATAGTTCAATGAAGAAGCTGTAACTTTAATTTTTGTAACTACTTTTGAAAATATGATATACTGTGTGATTCATATGAAAGAAAGAGTAAAGAGTACTCCTCTTGACAGCAGTCAGACACTATTAGCAGCACGAGTCAGTTCATTTAGTCTTGGATAATAAAGAATAAAAAGCACATGCAATTCAAGGCAGTTTTTGTTTGAAGGTGGTCCACTCTTTCTGATGTTTACCTCTGTGACTCTTAGATACACCAAAACCAACCATTACAAAACATGAGTGGTTTGAACCCTTCTACAGTAATGAGCGAGTCCAGCTTCATTGTAATATGCCAGGAGTTGGTTGGGAATACCACTGGTATAAAGACTTAAAACTTCAGATCACAAATCCAGAATTGACCATCGACTCAGTATCTGTCACTGACACTGGTGACTATCACTGCAAAGCACAGAGAGGAGACTTCTCAGTGGACAGTGAGACTCTACAAGTGCGAGTTCAAGGTGAGTCCATAATTTACCTCTTTATAATCATTTCCACGATGGAATATTATTCCCATTGTGCATGCATTGAGTTTACAGTGCCTCTGTAAAATTCCCAGGTCATGCATGAACATGTTAGTATTAGATTCTTTATTATCTATCAGACCTCATTCACCCTCCATTTTCCTCTCTTCCTTCAGAACCACCTAAACCACAAATCCAGTCTGAATGGACAGAAGCATTTCATGGTGAAAAAGTCTCTTTGCAGTGTGACATTCAAGATTCAAAAAACTGGAATTATATGTGGTTCAAGGGCCAGAACAAGATTTTCTCCAGTGGTGAAGCAAACATAAAAGGAAACACTCTCACACTCTCAGTTCATTCCAGTCATGACGGGGCGTATGTGTGTCAAGCTGAGCTGCAGGACAGAAAGGTGACGACTGCAAAAAGTACATTGCATTCGTTAACAGTCCAAGGTAAGAGTCTGTTATCACTGTAGCTGAAAGCAGCATGTCATGGTTGTGTTATACTGTGAAATACAGACATTTAAAAAAAAAAAAACACATCTAATTTCAGAAAACAGTTCATTGAATTTTGCATGTTAATAAGCTCAATGCTAATTTAAGAATTTCAACATTGCATATATTTTTTTAATGATTTAAGATTGAGTTTTAGTGCTGTTTATTTCCTGTGTATAATTGTCTCTTGGTGTTTCCATTGAAATCATAAATAAAACTTGCATAAATATAATTGTGTAAGTATTTTAATTACTTTTATAAGTGTATTTTTTTGTGCAATTATAAAGGCATAATACAGTCAAAAATGTCTAGTTCTGTTACACTGTTCTTTATCTTTGCAGAACTGCCTCAGCCAAAATTGTCAGTAGAGTCTCAATGGAATATATTTTACCCAACTGAGAAAGTGACTCTGAAGTGTTCAGTCGATGAAGATTCAAATAAATGGGGCTATGAATGGTTTAGAAACGGAGCTCGGCTTCTCAAGGATAAGGACATTTCCTTTCCTGGAAACACTCTCTCCATCAGCTCAGCTAAAACGGGTCATTCAGGACAGTTCACCTGCAGAGGAAGACATCTGACGAGAACATCAGTGACTACTAGACAAACTGAAGCTGTTCAACTTCATATTCATGGCAAGTAAAACTGCTTTTGAAAATATGATATTCTATGATCAATACATATGAAAGAAATGGTGACAGACACCTTAAATTTCAGTGTAATGAAGAAGTTTAGATTTTAAAATGTGTACAGTAAAGTGTTAGGGGCACAACCTAACACTTTTTGACTTTCTCAATTTGTGTAAATCCACAGGGGGTTCAGAGTATATTTTTATCCACAGTAATTTCACACGTGTCTAGTACAAATATGTCGCTTTGTTTCATAATTACAGTGTATACGTTTTTCTTTATTTACCCTCAAAAAATGGAAGTGAAATGTGATAGTATGCTTGATGGGTTTTTTTGTTTTTGTTTTTTTGTTAAATAAGCTTTTTATTCAGTCATCGAATAACCCTTGCAATAATCACAAGTTCCAGGATTAATTTTCTTATATATGCTTTTTTTTTTTTTACGAATTAAAAAATAAACTGATTTTGGAGTTTGACAATGAACACATTGCAACCATCCACATAAACGAGCCAAAATGATTTACATAACTTTACATTAATTTCTGAACATTAAATATTGACTGCCAGTCTTTATTCACCTGGTTCTTGTGGTTTCTCATTAAGATTAAAGAGGTCATATGATGTGTTTTCAATTTTTCCTTTCTATGACCCCGTTAAGCCATAAATTTACTTTTACTTATATTGCTACAGTATGTGCTTTCCATATTCTCAAAAAAAAAAAATGTAGGCCTATATTGAAGGTTTATGGATCCATTTGGATTACAGAGTTTTTACAAACTAGCAAACTTAATGTGATGCATATTTGTTAATCGCACATAAATGAAATAAGAAAGAATGAGATTTATGAAATAATACTAACACAAACCAAATGTGTTTTAAACACAGAATAACCAGGTTTATATACAGTATGTATCATCAATAAATCCTATTTATTACATGTAAACCATTCAATAAAGCATATATATTTTAACTAAATGAATCCTGCTTGTTCCAAAGGTAGCCATATTTGAACCATTATACTATTTTTTCACAATTAACATATTTATGCTAATTTTAATAAATACATTTTAAAACATGATTATGTAAAACAATCACATAGATGCAAATAGTTACTAAAGTATGTCATGATTGAAGTTCTTTAGTGTGGACTGGTTTAGCTTCTTTATTGTTTGTAATTATAGCATGGAAACTGTCAGTGTTTGCAGCTTTCTGGCTATGTTGAATTCAGTTCACTTAGCACAAGATCTAGAACAACAAGCACAAGCAACTCAAAGACAGTTATTGTTTGAAGGTGGTCAGCTGTTTCTAATTTTACCTCTGTTGCTCCTAGACATAACCCCAAAAGCAGTCATTACAAAACATGAGTGGTTTGAGTTGTTCTACACTGAGGAACGAGTCCAGCTTCATTGTAATATGCCAGGAGTTGGTTGGGAATACCACTGGCATAAAGACTCAAATCCTCGGATCACAAATCCAGAATTGACCATCGACTCAGTATCTGTCACTGACACTGGTGACTATCACTGCAAAGCACAGAGAGGAGACTTCTCAGTGGACAGTGAGACTCTACAAGTGCGAGTTCAAGGTAAGTTGTGTCCATATAAACTACAACTTGTGGCCATTTCATTTAGGATATAACCATGGCAGTGCACTAAAGTTTAAAATGATAAGTTGATATGTTAAAGAAACCCACCCAAAATAATATGGAAATTATGTTATCATTTCACACTCATGTCATGTTGTTTCTGACATGTATGACTTTCCTCTTCTGTGGAACACAAAAGATATTTTGATATCAGTAAAAAAATTTACTCATTTTTGTCCATACAGTCTTTATAGTCCATATAGTCTTTGGGGTCTAATGTAGTTTTGAACCCCAATGACTTCATTAAAGGTAGGGTAGGCAATTTCGGAGAGGCTAGCAATAACAAGCTAGCTTTGAAAGCATAAAATCCCACCCCCCTTGCATAATCACTCTCCAAAGCCACGCCTCCTCCAAAACACACATGAACGCACTCAGGCAGACCAGAGGCTAACCTGCAACACAATGAGAGACGGCGTTGGTGGAGCGTTGAATGCAATGCTGTCAGATTACCTCATGTCTCATTTATCTGTGAGAAAACAATACAGTACAAAGTGGATAATATATTAATAATGGCTTACATTCTCGCTCAGTCTGCAATAGCTTAATGGAACACGCTGATGACGGATCATGTCTGCGTGAACAGAGTGCGCGGAGGTATGCAAATAATGAACACAGACGATATAAATATACTGCTCAAAAAAATTAAAGGAACACTTTGAAAACACATCAGATCTCAATGGGGAAACATATCATGCTGGATATACTGATATGGACTGGGTAATGTGTTAGGAACGAAAGAATGCCACATCGTTTGATGGAAATGAAAATTATCAACCCACAGAGGGCTGAATTCAAAGACACCCTGAAAATCAAAGTGAAAAAACGATGCAGCAGGCTAGTCCATTTTGCTGAAATTTCATTGTAGCAACTCAAAATGGTACTCAGTAGTTTGTATGGCCCCCACGTGCTTGTATGCATGCCTGACAATGTCGGGGCATGCTCCTAATGAGACGATGGATGGTGTCCTGGGGTAGTTTCTCCCAGATCTGGACCAGGGCATCACTGAGCTCCTGGACAGTCTGAGGTGCAACCTGTCGGCGTCGGATGGACTGAAACATAATGTCCCAGAGGTGTTCTATTGGATTTAGGTCAGGCGAGCGTGGGGGCCATTCAATGGTATCAATTCCTTCATCCTCCAGGAACTGCCTGCATGCTCTCGGCACATGAGTCCGGGCATTGTTGTGCACCAGGAGGAACCCAGGACCCACTGCACCAGTGTAGGGTCTGACAATGGTGTCCAAGCATTTCATCCCGATACCTAACAGCAGTCAGGGTGCCATTGTCTAGCCTGTAGAGGTGTGTGCGTCCCTCCATGGATATGCCTCCCCAGACAATCACTGACCCACCACCAAACCGGTCATGCTAAACGATGTTACAGGCAGCATAACATTCTCCACGACTTCTCCAGACCCTTTTATGTCTGTCACATGTGCTCAGGGTGAACCTGCTCTCATCTGTGAAAGCACAGGGTGCCAGTGGCGGACCTGCCAATTCTGGTGTTCAATGGCAAATGCCAATCGAGCTCCACGGTGCAGGGCAGTGAGCACAGGGCCCACTAGAGGACGTCGGGCCCTCAGGTCACCCTCATGAAGTCTGTTTCTGATTGTTTGGTCAGAGACATTCACACCAGTGGCCTGCTGGAGGTCATTTTGTAGGGCTCTGGCAGTCCTTGCACAAAGGAGCAGATACCGGTCCTGCTGATGGGTTAAGGACCTTCTACTGCCCTGTCCAGCTCTCCTAGAGTAACTGCCTCTCTCCTGAAATCTCCTCACGCTCTTGACTGTGCTAGGAAACACAGCAAACCTTCTGGCAATAGCATGTATTGATGTGCCATCCTGGAAGAGTTGGGCCTGCCTGTGCAACCTCTGTAGGGTCCAGGTATCTCCTCATGCTACCAGTAGTGACACTGACCCTAGCCAAATGCAAAACTAGTGTAAAACAGTCAGAAAAGATGAGTAGGGGAAAAAATGTCAGTGGCCTCCACCTGTAAAACCATTCCTGTTTTGGGGGTCGTCTCATTGTTGCCCATCTAGTGCACCTGCTGTTAATTTCATTAACACCAAAGCAGCTGAAACTGATTAACAACCACCTCTGCTACTTAACTGACCAGGGCTGCCTTTCCCAAAAGCATCGTAAGCTTAAGTACATCGTAGACCCATTAAAACCAATTGAGCTACGATCAACTTATGCTAATAACAATGCTTTTGGGAAACGCAGCCCAGATCAATAGCCCAGGAGTTTAATTGACTTGATGCTATCCTTTTATTTTTTGTGTACATATAAATACATTTAGCCCACTTAACTTAGTGATTGTTATCGGGGATGTGAAGAGAATTTCAACCAGCATTAAAAAAAAAAAATGTTTTTCAACCAAATCACTTACCCTGCATGCCTTTAATGCTCCACAGAAGAAAGAAAGTCATACAGGTTTGGAACGACATGAGGATGAGTAAATGATGAAAGAATCACTTTAAAAGTGTAGTTTGAATAGTTACTAAAACTGGTAAAGGTAAAAGCATTAAGGGTATGATTTGAAGGCTCACTATGAAAGACATTTTATTTAAAAATGATAAAGTAACATATTACTTTGCTCTTAGCTCGTCCACCTGCATTCCTGAGTCTGGAGACTGAACTGAGCGACATTATGACTGGTGATATGACTCTGAGGTGTAACGTCTCAGACGGCAGACAGTGGAACTACACCTGGTTCATGAACGGACAGCAGCTCAATGGATCCTCAGATGTACTCAAAGTGACAGGAAATGAAGAAACAATCAAAAGTGAATTCAAGTGCAAGGGAATTAACACAGTGAGACCGCTGTACTCCGCTCTGAGTGATGGCTTCATAGCCAATAATATTAGTGAGTCATGGGAATATTTATTATTAAACCTGTTTCATACATATGTGAATAAATTGTGCATTAGAACAATGTCAGGCCATCTTCATGATCTTCAAGATTTAGATTAAAAACAAGAAATAACATTTTTAGTTTTTGAGTTATATTGTCAGTGAGATAATATATTCTGTAAACGGCAGACAAAATAAACTTATTTTTTTCATAAAACTCTTGTTTCTATATAATGTATTATAGGCCTATAATTATAATGCTTGAAGAAAATGTTCATTTAAGTTGCTTAACTTTATCTAAATGTGTGCATTTTCCTTATTATTACAGTATTCAAAAGAAAAATACTGCTGGCCATCTCAGGATGTCTCGTCTGCTGTATTGTAATCCTGATCATTGGATGCATCGTTCTAAAAATCACCCATAAACCAGGTACAATCAGATATTATTACATATACTTCTGAAATTAAGCTTCTTTATGCTGTTGGTCTTGCATGCAGTGTCCATTTACCAATGACTGTCCTTGTGTCACTCATTGCTCAGACTTACTGCAAATATTATAGCACCACTTCTGTTTACACTTGGTTTGAGTTTCTCAATATATGCACATGTTAGTGTAAACAGGGTTTTATTTGTTGATATTTACGTTTGGTCTAAACAGTGTCTGTCTACTATAATTTACACTCAGTGTAAACACCATTTACCCTCTAGTACACTTAGTGTAAATAACTGCTTGCCTTAAATATAAAATTGCTTTTAAATACTTAACCCGTTGATGTGGGTTCAGCCATCTTGAATTTGTTGTCATACACTGTCATTCAAAAGTGTCTTCTGCTCACCAAGGCTTTGTTCACACTTGGCGTCTTTTTTGAATATGTCAGCGTCTGTTTTACAGTATAATCCTATAGAGTAAACTGTGTTTTCAAAAAAGTCCTGAGTGCTTTTTAAAACGAGTGAAGCGAGTTGTTTCCATAGCAACAAAAACAACACGAAAAAATGGAGAAGATAGCCAGTAGATAGATCGTACTAGTTTCGGAGCACAAGGAGTTGTATGATATGAGCACAAAACTCTATCTAGTCTAAAATATGCCTCAAACCGGGCATCATTCAACCGGAGCTCCTGGACTAAACTGTTGTAAGCACCATACTGTTTCCTTCCCCGTATAATGTCGCGCACCCACAAACGTCGTTGTGAACCGACATTCTCCTCCCCATTAACGACATTTCTGCAGCACACAGCACTAGGCCAGAGATTGTCTTATATAAGGAGATGAGAGGGTCTGTATTACTTACTATTGGAGAAAGCGTAACCACGGAAGCGTAAGCGCCTTAATAACCAATCACATTACAGCCTTGACGTCACTGAATTTCAGTCAGAGTTGTGCGACACTCAATCACCGATGTGGCGATAATGCACCTTTAAAATTGGTTGTCAGCCACCAATCAAATCAAAAGAAGAAGAAGAAGAAGAAGAAGAAGAAGAAGAAGAAGAAGAAGAAGAAGAAGAAGAAGAAGAAGAAGAAGAAGAAGAAGAAGAAGAAGAAGAAGAAGAAGAAGAAGAAGAAGAAGAAGAAGAAGAAAACCCAAAACCAAGACAAGGGATCATAATCTGGAATCATGACACTGGGACATTTGGTCACCATAATTTGGATAAATCGACTTATATAAAATTATATATTTTTGATTGTTTTGTTTTAATTTCTAGTTTGTTTATTTGTTTTGATTGATTTTTTATGGTTTATTTTGTCCTACAAGCAAAATCCTGATCCATACTTTATTCCAGTCAGTGGTGGTAATGCACCAATCAGTTAGGTTGCCAACTGCCAATAAACACCAAAGAAGAAGAAGAAGAACACTCACCCTGCGTTCCATTCGGAAGGGCTCATCCCTATGCCCTAATCCCTTCCTCCGGAGTGAGAGCTTCAAAGGGAAGAAGGGTGTAGGCGACCAAACAACTGTTTCTTGAAGTGCCCTTCTGCGTCATCATCACGTGCCCACACGGAGGCGCCGTCATCATGCAAAGAATCTGTGCAAAGGATCATGGGAGCCCGAAGTGTCCATCAGTCCACCCTTTGAAATCCTTCATTCCGAAGGGCCCTTTGAAGTGGCCAGTTTTGAGCACTTCGGGTTGGAACGACCCTTCAATATGGCGGCCATGATTGTTTTCACTCCCAAGTGCCCTTCGGAGGGCGATATATCCCGTTTGGAACCCACCGACTATCGCCGTTTACGGATCCCATAGGAATGAATGAGAAGTGCCGTAAGCTGAATCCCGCCTGTCACAAAAAGTCAGTGACTTCTCTTATAAAACAGCATTTTTTTTTTCGTGGTAAATTTTTAAAATAGTTAAATCCAAAAGTATTGTTTAGTGTAAAGCATGTTGAATATTAGCAGATAGACTGTCAATTAATTAAATGATAAGCCGTTTCCTCGAAAAAGCTGTTTATTCAGCATAGTGAAGCCTCTCCTCAATTGACATCCATTAAAAAAAAAACGGCCTCTGGTCTTCTTTCCCACGTACTGCCAGACAAGAAGTCTTAGCTTTTTCTATTTGAATATATGTTAAAATGTAATTTATTCCTTTGATGAAAAATTGAATTTTCAGCATCATTACTCCAGAAATCATTCAAATATGCTGATTTGCTGCATTTCTTATTATTATCAATGTTGAAAACAGTTCTGCTGTTTTTGTAGAAACCATGCTTCATTTTTATGATTCTTTGATGAATAGAAAGTCCAAAAGAACAGCATTTCTTTGAAATATATATATATTTTTATTCTTGTGACATTGTAAAACTGTCATATTTACTGCCACTATTGATCTATTTAATACAAATCTTACAGAACCCAAATGTTAAAGGTGGGGTAAGTGATTTCTGGTAGCCAATGTTGATATTTCAAATCACCAAAACAAACACGCCCCTACCCCAAAAAGGGTCTGTCCTGTGCACCGAGCGCTCTCTCCTCCGCATCATGAGTAGACACGCCCCTTACTGCTGATTGGCTAGACATTTGTTTTGGTACTCGGCCCGTTTTCTAAAGCATTTTTGAAAAAATACATACCCCACCTTTAAATCAGTCATGTGACTAAAAGCACAATGACACATAAGAGGACAGTCATATAGAGTTATGGATAAGGGTCAAGCCTCACCCATGCTGGATTTCATATCACATCACACATTAAATGGTTAAAAAGATCTGTGCACTGTATTAGACATCAGGGTTCATTTATTGTTGTGATTGCCTAACATGACTACATTTTTCACTTAGCATTAGCTTGTGTGTTTTGAATTACAGTAAACTCTATGTAAAATGTAACGCTGTATAAACACTTTATAAATATTTTTTACAAAAAATTTTCATTTCTTATCATCAGAGGTCAAAGAAACAGCACCAGAGGACTTGTTTTTCTCAATGACAGACTCCAAGAACCGTAAGTTTTACACTGCGTGTGTGCATGTGAGTGTGTGTAAAATTTCTCTGCCTTTACATTTCTATGGGTTTTTGATTACTCTGCAGAAATTGCTTCACCCATGAAGGAGTGCATGGACAACAGACCAACAGAGCTGGAGGGTATGTGCTTTTACTGACAGTTACAATCAAAGCAGTTCGCTATTTCGCAAACCTTATACTTTGTAATAATATTATGTGACTCAACAAGTGAACAAACCTCTGGCGTTTTTAATAAGTTTGCTTCTTTTACAAGCCAAAAGTATGATTTTGTATATTTAAACTGCTGTGAAATAATCACCACACTCTCTCTGTTATCATTCAGGATGTCAGGAAAAAGAAGAACTGATCACTGGTCGTGCTTCAGCCGTTCATGAGGATGGTGTGATTAAAGGTAAGAGACCTTAGAAATCAGACATTTTGCTGTATAGTAAAACTAAAAAAAATTGAAAAAAAAATCGATTATGACAAATGACTCTCACAATTTTTCTATTAAAGGTGAAGAAACATTGGCGTCAGAAGCCAATGGCCTGACGTCATTTAAAGGTAAAGTTAAATTCAGTGTTATTGTAGTATCATTGAGAAACTATTATAGTAATTTTCATTATTATATCTCCTGTTTTCATTAAAATTTTTGTTAAAGTTTTATGAATTTTATCTGTTTTTGTCTTTTTATTATTGTTATTGTTATAATTATTATTTTATTGTGTTGTGTGTATATATATATATATATATATATATATATATATATATATATAT